AGGATCATTATTCTTTTTATTGCTGTGGTAAAGTTTCAATTCCCAACTTCTTAAGAACTTTTCTCTTCCTTTGCTACAAGTACAAACCAGTAGAGCTTCAGTCTCGACAGAGACTTCTGGTTTTTAATTTTGTGCAGATCGTTTCTCAGAAACTATTGCAAGGATTTTTTTGAAAATTTGTACGCTTATTAATGACCATATGAAGGTGTGCACCTGGAATTTTCAAAACTGCGAATTTTCTTACTTCTGTTTTCAAACCCTTACTACTTAAGTATGATTTTTCAAATTGTAGGTTTGTTAACATTCGATATAGAAACCATTTTCTTTTCTACACAGGATATTTTAGTTAGAATAATCTAACTGTGTCTCGGTACAAGCCCTCACCACAGTTAGAATACGTCCCATATACTTGCAATGTAGCAAATCGGAGCGGATCCGCTCCGAAACGATTTTGAAGAATATAAAATGATTTGCACTGGGAATAACTACCAAAATAATCAAAACAAACCTTTTTGAGATTGCTTATGCCTTTTGTCCCAAAAAATAATCCATATAAATACGAAAATCCAATTAATTTTCTCAACGTTTTTCTCTCCATTCAAATTACCTGTCATGTTTACATTCGGAACTCTCTAGATTGTTCTTAGTAAATGCACTATGCGAGTTATCGCCCGTGTTTCTTTTTGCTACATTACGAATACACGGAACGAATTCTATCGTTAAACCGGGTCCGTAGGACAATATCATTTTAACGATAGAACATTCTATCTAAGGATATTTTAATGTCGTAGATCAAAGATGTAGCTTTTTCTATGAAAACCTTGTACACAGAAAATGTTGTAAACCATGTTATCAAACAGTTTTAAGCAAAGAGTTCAGTGTTGAATCCTCAGAATGGAAAAAAATATATGTAAATTATGACATACCCGACAGACACCATACAGAATTCAACTATAAACTTTTAAACAATATTCTTTCTAATAATTTCTACCTCAGTAAATGGAAGAAAAAAACGAGTAGTCATTGCAAATTATGCCACGTGAACGAAACTTCAAATGGACTTCATTTTGGAATGTAGAAATGTTATTGAAATATGGAACAGATTAAGTTTTTACCTTAAAATAGATATCAAATGGAAACGTCTTATACTTGCATTTAGCTCTGAGCGCAATAGAAAAATTCTATCACTAAACGCACTCATCTCTTATGTTGCCTATAGAATTTACAAATATAAGATATATTGTCGACTACATTCCTTGGATGAAACTAGCTATAACATTTTTAACCCTGTTAAATCTTCAATTTTTTTTCTATGCCTCCATTATGAAAAATTTATACACTCTTGTAGACTACAGACTTTTCAAAAATTTTGCATAAAATACTAGTTTTTCTGAAAACATGTTTCAGTTGTAAGGTAATATTGTCACATTGTCTTATGTTTGTAATGTAATTTCTCTACTATATATATTTCACTGTTTCTTGGTATTATGAAATGAAAATAAAATTATGAAAAAAAAATAAATCAAAACTGTAGAGGTAGCATTTTGAAGAAAATACAGAAATTTCTATGTTTAGTAACCACGGCAACACCGTTCATCGAAATCAAAAATCGATATAGAGATGCACCTATATGTACCTTTGTGTAGTCAACTTCTGTGCCAAGTTATATTGAAATCAAACGAAAACTGTAGGAGGAGTAGCATTTTGAAAGAATTTCACAGAAATTTCTATTTTTAGAAACCATGGCAACATCGTTCATCGAAATCAAAAACCGCTACACAAAATTATGTACCTTAGTGTAGTCCACTTCTGTGCCAAGTTATATTGAAATCAGACCAAAACTGTAGGAGGAGTAGCATTTTGAAAGAATTTCACACAAATTTCTATTTTTAGCAACCACGACAACATCGTTCATCGAAATCAGATACCGATAAACAGAATTATATACCTTAGTGTAGTCTACCTCTGTGCCAAGTTATATTGAAATCAGATCAAAACTATAGGAGGAGTAGCATTTTGAAAAATTGTTAACAGACAGACAGACAGACGGACGGACGGACCAGAAGAGCTTATGCGATAGTAATGTGTCATAACTATCGCATAAGATCTTCTGGTCTCTGACCAGTAGAGCTAAAAATACTTGCAATTCCTTCTACAAGTGTGGCCAGTGAAAGGATTTTCAATTTTCAGCACAGCAGGGGACATTGTAACTGACAATGTTGACAGGCTAATTTTCTTCGAGAAAAATTTGTAAACTCTTCAATTTGACAATTTCAGTTTAATTTCTGATGAATTTTAATATAATTGACAGTAATTTGAGTCAAGAAACTTGTCATCGTTCATTTGTTGAATTAGTTTATTTTCATACACTGTTATTTCCAAATTAAATGCTTTAAAAAAATTATCTAGGTTTATTTGGTTTTAAATACATCGTGACATGTATCGTATCGCACCTAAGGTATTGTAACGGAAACAGATAATCAAGGGAAGGGGACAGGGCGTTCCGAAAGGACCCTGAGTTCGTAAAACCCAAAGTTCCCAGACATTCCGAGTGGGCTTGTCACGTGATTTTATTAGAGTATATATAAGGTCTCAAGACTCGATAGAGTCAGTTTCTGATGCAGTTACTGGCAGAGTGCCAGCGGAGAAGTGCGGTATAATCAAAGAGATAGACAACAGCGGTAAGTCTGTTCGTAAGTCATTATTGCTTTGCGATGTGCAGAACAGTTTTTACCTAGTATATGCAACAGTCTACGTGTGCGTTACATAATCGGTCTTTCTGTGTTAATCGAAGAGTAACCTGTCGCTTCTGGGAGAAAGGACGTGCTGGCGCTTTGGTTGTTTCTTTGGGCGCTTCCTAAAGTCGCTCTTGAGTTAGAAGCCCAATTGATTAAGAGGCAGTTTGATTATTTGCGTGCTAGGAAAGCACCCGATATCTGTATATTTTGCATATGTAAATAAGTTCTAGTCAACAAACAAATTCCTCAGCAAGGTATCTGAGGGGGCCCTAGACCCAGAGAAAAATCCTAAAGTCGCTCCTGAGTTAGAAGCCCAATTGATTAAGAAGCACCCGATATCTGTATATTTTGCATATGTAAATAAGTTCTAGTCAACAAACAAATTCCTCAGCAAGGTATCTGAGGGGGCCCTAGACCCAGAGAAAAATCATATAGTATATGTGTTAGATAAACACGTTACAGAAATTGGCGCCCATATAGGGACTTGATATGGTTGCTTGATTGAATAAAAAAAAATAAAAAAGAAGTAAATTTCATATATTTCTATCTTTACTTATTTGTAAAGTTTTGTTGCTTTTAAAAAAAATGTCGAGCTTAGATGAAGAAATCGCAAGGTTAGAAGCTGAAATTACACGGTTAGGAAGAAAGACGCTCGAGAATTCTGAAATATCCTTGGACAATCACGATCAGAGAACGTCTACTCCAGCTAGTATAAGAACAACCGCAGCCCGTAGAAGTGACTCTGGAATAATGACCCAAAGTCCTATAGAAGATGTTAACCAAGCTTCGGCTAGAATCCAGAGTGGGGTTCTCCGTGAAACACCAAGAATTGACAATTTTGAACAAGAGCCCATTTTAAGAAGCGACAAGACGTATCGATGCCAGAGAGGATGAACCAGGAGTAACAGTCAGACTACGGCGCCTCCTTGAAAATACTAAGACTAACGAAGCAAAACCAAAGGAAGAGATTACTGTAAAGAAGCCGTCTAATTATATTAAACCAGCCACATATGACGGGATTGGGTCGTGGCTTGATTATAAATCACACTTTGAGGCGTGCTCTTCATTGAATGGTTGGTGTGTTAAAGAAAAAGGTCTTTATTTAGCAGTCTCTCTGAGGGGACAAGCACAGGGAGTGCTTGGGAATTTGAGTAGAGATGATGAAAGAAACTACGATGAACTGATTAAGGCGCTTGAGGATCGTTTTGCCCCTGCAAACCAAACAGAACTATACATAGTTCAACTACGAGAACGTAGACAGAAAGCGACCGAGACGCTCCCAGAATTACGACAGTCAATCCGGAGGCTAACACATCTCGCCTATCCTACAGCACCAAACGATGTTCAAGAGACACTTTCTAAGGAACAGTTTATCAATGCTTTAGTTGATGCTGACATGCGCCTTAGAATCAAACAAGCCAGACCCCAGAGCTTGAACGACGCTATAAGGCTAGCGGTTGAATTAGAAGCCTTTATCAGTGCTGACTCCAGAAGATCTGAATACAAGTCACATTTGCATGTAGCTACAGGTGCAGATCACGATAATACTCAATTAAAGTCCCAGATAAATACCAACGACCTGACCAAAACTCTTAAAGATTTGCAAAGTTCTGTTATGGAACTTAAGACAGAAATACGTGAAATAAAGAGTAAGTCATCTAGCTCGATGATTGGTCGGATCGCAATGACAAAAAAGCCACGGCAACCCCCAAGAACAATAAAGTGCTACAATTGTCGTAAGGAAGGACATATAAGCAAACATTGTCCATCAAAGCAGATGAACGAAACAACAAGGAGGTTTGGCAAAAAATCTAAAGCACCGGGTCATGGTTCTGGCTCTGCTAAGACAGTTAAAACACAACGTAAGCTGCAACCAATTGCTTACAATAGACCAAGTGAGGCTGGAATGTATATCTCAGCTAAAATGTAGACACAAAATTGTTCATCGATACAGGAGCGACCGTTACGCTCATTGCAAAGAATGTCTTCAGTGACATTCAAAAGGTTTATCAAAATCTTGTTTTGCATAGTATGCACCAAGACATTATGTCTGCGGAAAGTAGACCTCTAAAACTTCTTGGCAAAGCTACGTTAACTTTAACAATCGGTTCGAGTAGATTTGTGAGAACAGTGGTGGTCGCTGATATAACAGTGGATGGAATCCTGGGTCTGGATTTCATGAATGAACAAAATTGCACGTTGGACGTCTCCAAGAAAGTAATGTCAATAAATGGTGAACATTATTCTTTATAACTTCAAGGTATGCTAGCATGTTATCGGGTGGTGGCTTCAGAATCGTTCACTCTACCACCAAGAAGTGAAGTGATTGCAAGCTGTGATGTATGCGTACCAGAGGGCAAGAACCGTCCTTGTGGATATGGTATTGTAGAGCCAAGGAATTGTTTGATAGATTCAAATAAAGGTTTAGTAGGCAGAACTCTGGTCAGCAATCATAATAAGGTTCCAATACGAGTTTTGAATCTATCGACCGATGCACAGACGATTTACAAGGGAACAAATATGGGACAGCTTAGCCCAGTGGTAAAGATATTAGAAGGAGAAAATAAAGATCGCAGTCTTAAGGGACCTTTTTCAAAAGAGCTGCAGGCCTTAAGTGAAAAGTCAAAAACTTGCTTAAATCAAAAACAGAAGACTGAAGTAGATAAACTGTTATCCAGGTATGCTTTTCTGTTTGCTGGTTCAGATGATGGACTTGGAAGAACAAATGTTGTCAAGCATTGTATCGATACAGGAGATGCACTCACGATAAAACAGCCACCAAGACGGTTACCGGTACACATGAGAGAAGAAGCAGATAGGTTGGTGGACGATATGCTTGAGAGGAATGTAATTGAACCTTCATCTAGTCCGTGGGCCTCAGGTATCGTTCTAGTTAAAAAGAAATTATGGATCGACTCGATTTTGTATCGATTATAGACGATTAAATGCGGTTACTTTGAAAGATGCTTACCCTCTTCCGAGGATCGACGACATGTTAGATAGTCTAAGTGATGCTTCGTGGTTCTCAACTCTCGACTTGGCTATGGGATACTGGCAAGTAGAAATGGAGGCCAGTGACAAAATAAAGACTGCTTTTGCCACGAGAAAAGGATTGTACCAATTTAAAGTGATGCCTTTCGGCTTGTGCAATGCTGGAGCGACATTTGAAAGATTGATGGAGACAGTCCTTGCAGGGTTGAATTGGGAAATATGTTTGATTTACTTGGACGATATCATCGTCATTAGTAAAACATTTGAGGGCATGGCGGAGAACCTGAGCAAAGAGTTCGACCGATTGGCAAATGCAGGGTCGAAACTGAAGACCAAGAAGTGTTCCTTGTTTTGCAAGTCTGTAGAATATCTCGGACACATAATTTCCGAGAAGGGTATTACTACGGATCCAAAGAAGATTGAGGCGATTAAGGAAATGACAGTGCCAGCCAACGTGAGTGAGCTACATTCATTCCTGGGTATATGTAGCTACTACAGAAAGTTTGTGAAAGACTTTGCAAGTATAGCAAAACCCCTTCACAAACAGACAGAGAAAAGCAAATCTTTCGTTTGGAGTGAGGATTGCCAAAGTGCTTTCGAAAAATTAAAAGCTACACTGACAAGTGCCCCCATCCTTGCCCATCCTGACTTTAGTAAGCCGTTCATATTGGACACGGACGCAAGTAACTTTGCGATGGGAGAGCAGTATTATCACAAGTGGACGATGGTAAAGAACGTGTGATTGCTTACGCCAGCAAGACTTTTACTAAGTCCGAAAGGCAATACTGCGTGACGAGAAAAGAATTGCTTGCGGCAGTATATTTTACTAAGTATTTTAAGCATTACCTCTACGGACGTAAGTTTATTTTGCGCACGGACCACAGCTCGCTGAGATGGTTGACCAACTTTCAAAATCCAGAGGGTCAGCTTGCCCGCTGGCTTGAAGTGCTGTCCACGTATGACATAGAGATCCAACATCGACCAGGCAAGTTACACCAAAACGCTGACGCGCTTAGTCGTCTTCTTTGTAAGAAATGTGGATTCAAAGTAGACTGGGATAAGGAAAACGAAGAACCCAAAGTAAGAACGGCAACAGTAGACGACCCAGTTATTCAAGAAACGTATGTCCATAGGGTCCAAAGCGAAGACAAAGAAATTGTCCTTGTAAAACGTTGGATGGATCAGGAAAAGACACCATCGTTTAGAGGAGTGGCCAGTCAAAGTGCATTTCTACGTTCTCTATGGTCACAGCTAAGTTCACTAACCACTCAGGACAATTTACTATATCGGAGAACCACAGACCAAGAGACAAAGACGGAAAAGCTCCAGATAATAGTGCCTATGTCTGAGAGAAGGCATATTCTAACGGAATACCACGACAAGCGTACTGCAGGTCATTTAGGCATAAACAAAACTATTGCAAAGATAAGAAGTCAATTTTATTGGCCAGGCCTTAACAAAGATGTCGGTATATAAATGGATGTGACATCTGTGCCAGAAGAAAGTCGTCCTTTACTAGCCAAAAAGCGCCAATGCAAATTGTTCAGAATGGATTCCCCATGGATAGATTAGCAACAGATATTATGGGGGAACTGCCATTGACAGAATCTGGAAACAGATACATACTGGTAGTTTCAGATTATTTTACTCGCTGGACTGAATGTTTTCCGATGCCAAATATGGAATCAAAAACTGTGGCAAAGATTCTAGTTGATCAGGTCATCACTAGATTCGGAGTACCCTATACAATACACTCAGATCAAGGCCGTCAATACGAGGGTGATTTGTTCCATTCGGTGTGCGAACTATTACAAATGGAAAAGACTCGCACAACACCCTACCATCCATAATCAGATGGTATGGTGGAAAGGTTTAATCGAACCCTTGAAGCCATGTTAACTTCCTGTGTGAACAAAAATCATACAGATTGGGACGAACAACTGCCTTATGTCACGATGGCGTATAGATCGGCAGAGCATGACACAACTGGCTTCTCTCCGAACTACCTTATGCTTGGTAGAGAAGCGACAACGCCTTTAGACCTTCTATACGAAATGGAGGTACAGAGGAAGCCGATCCCACAAAATAGATGGGCCTGGTTGCTTCAAGAGAGACTGGAAGAAGCACACCATATTGTGAGGAAAAATACTAAAGGGGAAATGATGCGTCGAAAACGCTACCATGACAAGAAGTTACGATGGCAAAGATTCTCCCCAAGAGACCATGTTTACGTTTTCTTTCCTCGCAGACGTATGGGTACTTCGCCAAAGCTAACAAGCTTTTGGCAAGGACATTTCGAAGTTCTAGAAAAATGTTCAGAATTTACGTACAAAGTATCTTGTGGAAGTAAAGGGTCACCACAGGTGATACATGTAGACAGAATGAGGTTGGTTAAACCTCAGATTCTGTCTGGTGAGGTAGAACTAAGTGATTCTGATGATGTCGACCAGAATGAAAATCTCACATTACAACAAGATCAGTTGGAAGAGTTGGACTTTGATAGAGAGGGTGTTAATGATCCAGTGATCGATCAGAAGTCCCAAAGATCGAGTGGAAGCAGACGGACTCCTGCTTATTTATCAGCTTATGTAGTAGATCTTTGCTAGACAGGTTATTTATGTTGCACTATTTTTTATATATATTTAAGATGACAAAGATTCGAGGAGCATTTAAATGAGCTTTAACCCATTTTTTTGTTTGTTTGTTGTAGATTACAGTTATGCCTAATATAAAGTTTACCAAAGCTAAACAGCCTGACTGTCCTTTTTGTGACAGAGCCATTGATGAGCCATGGCAGGACCACGTTATTTTATGCTCAGGACAGAGATTTAAATGTGTAACTTGTGGAGCCAGGTTCAAGAAGAACAGTTACCTTGTGAAACACATGAAAGTTCATAATGGTTCAGCAACTGTTCCACCCCCTGCTAAGAAGCAAAAGTCAAGCACGATTACAAAAGCAGCTGATATTGTAGTTGGTGAAGATAGTCCAGAAGCGACTCCTGCTAGTGACCATATGGAGAAGGAATCTAACCAAAGTGACTGGGAATTTCAGGATCCTGGAGAACTGTTAAATGTGTTGGGTTCTTGTAGCCCTAGCGATGAAGAAGACTCCAGAGAAACTGAAGAGATAGAGAAGGCACCTGAGGACCTAGAGATAGGAAGAATCATTCGAAAGAGAACTCAGCCGGTTCTCTACACAGGTTCTCAGACGAAGAGCAAAGACATTCATCATTCAGAGCCGGTGATGCATGATTTGGAGAAGTCTGCAAAGGCATCCACTGTGAACGCGGCTACACAGACCGAGCCAACCCTATATGTGTACTCCACCAAAACCATAACCAACAAGTGGGAGAATGGGGTTAAGATCAAAGTCGTTGAAAGAAAGAAGAGCTATAATATGAGTTAGACAATCGATAGACGCAAGAATTGTAAAGTTATTGATTACTGATGTAATACATGTATATAAAGCTTACCTTGTCAAAGGAATTGACAGTATTCGAATCATTGTAAATAAGAAAAATTGACTATTATATGCCTCTTTGTTTTATTTTCCTGTGCAAGCGAGGACGCTTGAATCTGAGGCGTGGGTAATGTAACGGAAACAGATAATTAAGGGAAGGGGACAGGGCGTTCCAAAAGGACCCTGAGTTCGTAACACCAGCGGAAAAGTGCGGTATAATCAAAGAGATAGACAACAGCGGTAAGTCTGTTCGTAAGTCATTATTGCTTTGCGATGTGCAGAACAGTTTTTACCTAGTATATGCAACAGTCTAGTGTTACATAATCGTTCTTTCTGTGTTAATCGAAGAGTAACCTGTCGCTTCTGGGAGAAAGGACGTGCTGGCGCTTTGGTTGTTTCTTTGGGCGCTTCCTAAAGTCGCTCTTGAGTTAGAAGCCCAATTGATTAAGAGGCAGTTTGATTAATTATTTCGTTTATTTGCGTGCTAGGGAAGCACCCGATATCTGTATATTTTGCATATGTAAATAAGTTCTAGTCAACAATCAAATTCCTCAGCAAGGTATCTGAGGGGGCCCTAGACCCAGAGAAAAATCATACAGTATATGTGTTAGACAAACACGTTACAGTATCGTGATAAGTGTCGGATCGGCTAAGTTCAGTATCGTCCCAGCCCTAGTAACTTGAATACACTTTATCTGAGTTTTTTCAGATATTGACACATTTTCGATTCATTATCAATATGATTTTTCTTTTTTTTTTCTTTAAATGAACGAGTTAAAGTCAAAAAAGTGTGTAACAAACTAGCACCTTGGTCATTCTAGTTTTTCCTTGAGAATTTCGCAAAATTTTGAGATTGGTAGGTAGCTGTCTTAGAAGTCCACAAATAACAATATGGCTGCCAGGCGCATTATAATGTAGAACATTGTTAGGCCGGAGAGGATACCGCGTCAACTTCAGGATAGAAAAAATTCCCAGGAATCATTAAAAGAAGAAATTTTAATGAGATTCAGGTTTAGATTTACACCATCTAAACATTTGGCAAAGAGATCATTTAGTTGATCTGATATTTGCAAATCATCTAGATGTCTGAAGTCTCACAAACCTCACCGCTTGAGAGCCATAGCGATTACTGCTATGAGTGATCATGGGTTCGAGTCCAAAGAGATCATGTTCCTAAGTGGAGACCGCAGCGAAGCATCATAAAAAAACGTACAACCGTGATTTGTCCCAAGAACAAAAACGCTCTGTAAAGTCTACTCCTACAAGTGAGAGCCTCGGTTAACGTCCCTACTGCCCTTATATACCTCGGACTCTTACATCCGAAGGAGATTTTCTAATGAGTTCGTTCCGCTACAGTTTTTAACTGGGCAAGACATATAATGCGTGAAATATATTGTAAACAAGTAATTTTCAGGTACCTAAGTGTTTGCGTAGGGTATTAAAGTAAGAAGAAATTATAAAACGTATTTCATTCAGCATGCGTCAT